TGGTGTTATTATAAGCAGCTGTTTGAAAAATTTTGGTAGTTTTCAGCTTCCTCATTAAATTGTTTTCAAATGTATATTCAGATCGATCTTGTTTTGAAGCTCAATTCTGAAGCTGTAAGAGTAGGTCGGGTTACCCTTTTACAAAATATTTCTCTCAAGGTCAGAATAACAGCTGAATGATCAGAGTCTAAATCAAAATGTTCTTCAACTTCAATAAAGTTAGGAGAAACAATTATTGAAATAAAGAAGTCAGGGATTTTGTTGGGATCCGTGAGCCAGTAAGTAGGTTTACTTGTAGAGTGATAATTGCAATTCTTTATACGGACAGCTTTTCTTAATTCAGTACATTTAGCGTTAAGAGTTAAATAGGCTTCTTCCTTAAGATTGTGCCGCAGTGGAGAGTAGGCTGTACGAATGCTTAATTTCTGTTTCATAGACTTAATGCCCTGCCACTGTAAGTTGAATATCTTGGCATTGTAAGTGGCATTCTTTAAAATAATTAATTGATTCTTTTACGGCACTACCACCTTTGGCTTATCGTCTGGATGAATAGTATGGTATATTTTATATCCTCTTATCTTGTCATATGTCTCTCAATTATGCTGGGTGTTGAGAAGTCTTAAAAAATTCGACGTAGCGATTTTAAGATCTTTAAAAATCATCAAACTTACTTTTTGGTTATAGCTCCAGTACTTCTGGCTTCTAATGTGTCGAGTCTTTCATTGACTCGTTTAAGAGTAGTTAAATCTGTCTTTGATGAAATAGATGAGGGTTTTATTGGTACATTTCGAACTATTTGAGAAAAAGAGACTCCAGATCTGACTAGGTTTGGATCAATCGCTTTTGATTGGGTAGTAGGTTTCTTGACTTTTAAGATAATATTTCTTCTTTTTTGTAACTCGTTAGCAATAATACATAATATAAATTGAAAGCTTCAATTAAAATATTTGTTTTATATGCAGACAAAGAAATTGTTTCAGACTCACTTGTATTTAATCTTGGAACTAAAAATAAAACTTGTTCATAGATGATATTTTATAAATAATAAAGATTTATCAACGTATTTTAGTAAAAAAATAATTTGTTTCTATTCGGATATAAGCTTTATTTTATTTTTGTAAATATATTTCGCCCACTATAACTATATTATATATTTTATTTCAAATTATTTAAAATTCGGGCTGTGGTAAACGAAAAACCAGAATTTACCGATTTGATTTCAATAATATCACTATTTTCCATTAAAATAAATTAAACCTATACCGTATCTTAGTCGTAAATTTTCAATTTATTCCTGTGGTCTAATATTCGATAGTATTGGATTTTGCAAGAGGTATATAAATATAAATTTAATAAAGGATTTAATATCGAATACGGTAGCATTAACTGGCGCTACTTAGCATTAACTGGCGCTGCTTGAAGATACCTTTAAATGAAACCAGAAATTGGCAGATTAATACTAAGAACGTCCTTTGATTTTTTTCGGATTAGATTGTGCTAATTTGTTTGTTCTTTGTTAAATCAAACTGTTTTTTACTTCACAAATAACTGAGGCCCTTCCTATGGGGTCTCAGCATTGCATTCGTGCAGACAAAAAAAAATTTTTACCCCATTTTTTAAAACTTTTTTCATGTTTCCGATCATTCCGAGTCCGAAAAGGCAAAAAAAATTCGTCTGGTCGTTTGTGTGTATGTATGCCGGCACGATAACTCTAGAACGAAAGTTCTGATTGACTTGCGGTTTTGATTTTCTTAAATAATTACTTCTAACTTAGAACCCTATTGATTTTCAAAATTTTCGGTTCATCCTAACTACTTTAATATCAATTTTCTTAAAATCCGCATATGTATTTCTTCTGTGACAATTTAAGGAATTCCAATTATTTCTAACGTCAACATTCCTAACATTCTTAAAATTTCATAAATTGCAAACATTCTCTAACGACCTGTCAAACAACAGCTGTTGATAGTAAAGGTGAAATTTATAAGGCGGGTTGCGACCTTCATACTTGCAACCATAGCCATTTTGAAGGCTATTTTTATTCGAAATTAGTAGCCAAGCCTACCAATTTATGAAAAATATGTAAGCAATTTCTTAAAAATGACTTTTTTATGGTGGTGCTAACTTAAACGTACTACTATTTCGCCCCTAGCCACAAAAACACCTTCATCTTTACTGGCTCTCTTTCGCAACTCCATAGAATAATTAACCGGCCATTTTATTTGACAAAAATTAGAATAATGCTTGGCTGTGCCTGTCAAGTATCAAGATGTCAACTGTGATGTGTGAATGGCTCTTAAATGTAAAATTATTTAAAAATGTATACTTCTTTTGATATTTATTGCAAATAATTTGTTGTGTATCTCAATTCAGGCTTTCGATAAATAAAGGTACAGCAATACAAACCACTTTTTTATTATATAAAAGAGAGGTAGAATATAATGCTGGTTTTTTGTAGAAAATTTTTATTATACGATTTTGGATTACATATTCAACCAGCGAATTGTAAATAATAATTAGTAAACTTCTAGTCATAAATTTCCTCAATAAATAAAATTTAAAAATGTATCTTCTTACCTTGGTACCGAGGTATTTTGTTGTGTTTTTTATTTTAATTATAAAGTTGTCATTTATTTGTATGTTGAAAGAAGGCCTTTGTAAATTACATTGCTCTCTATGGATCTACTTTAACACAAAAATAGTTTTGTGGCTATAAGTTGCTATAACCTATCGTCGCAAAACTATTAATAATTTAAACATAGTAAGTAGTATTAATATAACATCAAGTATATTTTTAAAATAAAGTACATGATCTCAAAACAGAAATAATTTATAATATGGATACTAATTAACAGTGCTGTTCCTAAAGTGGCGCTGGGAAACATTAACAAAGCCTACATAGAACACGAGGCTAACAACCGTAGCAGTTGATGCCGATGACACAAAAAAAAAGTCTCGATAAGGTGGAAACCACCATTTTAGCGTCTCTCGAATTAACAATAATTTTACTTTATTTTTTTATTTTTTGTTTAACTAAACGAAGGTGCTTTTAAATAGGTTCTTATAGTATGAGACCTTCCATATACATTATATAGGGTGTCAATTTTAAACCTTGTCATTGACAATACGTATCATTTTATTTATTTATTACCTTTGAATAATTTAATTGTACTTGTAATAATTATTTTGGCAGACGATTTTACTATTTTATTACTATTATTACTAAGATTTTATCAATTTAAATGATATAACGACTAGATAATACTGTAATGTGAGCCATTTCATTATTCAGTCATGCTCTAATCCTCCAAGTCCCTTCTCTGTCTTATTTGGCCTTTGAGGCTCAACTTGTCCGATTATTATACATAATTCAACCCCTTAAGACCAAACATATGTGACGGCTATGGTGGAGGTGCTTTTGATTACTATTCGAGAAAGGAGATAATGTTTCTAGTAAATTCCAAATATAACGAGATATTTCTACTTTGGCGGAGGAGCATTCTGGAACCTTCACCATAATTAGAAATTTGTATATAAATATTGGTGGAGGAACACAGTGCAGTCATTCAGTTATGGATAGACAGTGAATATAAATAGTGAACAATTTAAGGACATTCGAAATATACCGGGTGTTCAAATTAAAGTGTTACAGCTATATACCGCCTTTTATAAAAAAAAACGTTTCAGACGAGTTTTATACTTTTGTAGGGAAACATTTTTGGCTAAAATCGTTTTTTATTGCTAACCATAATATGGTCAATTTTTTTTCGCCTAGCAAAATTTTCAAGTACATAGCTGTTACTCAAAAAGTAAAAGTCCAATAAAAAAAATATTTTCATCAAAAGTTTTTTATTTTTTTATGTACTTTAAGAATATAAAAAAAATGGGATTCCCATTTAAAAAACAAAGTCCACTTCGATATAGCCATATTATGCTCAGCTATAAAAAAAATGAATTTGGCCAAAATGTTTCCCCCAAAAAACTATAAAACTTTTGTCTGAAACTTTTTTTTCTAAAATGAATATTTTCGGCGGTATTTAACTGTAACACTTTAATTTGAACATCCGGTATATAAATTAGAATAGTATTGTTATAAATAAATAAGTGTTTAAATAAATTATTAATAAATAAACTGTTGTTTAAAATAAACAAACATCACAATACAAAAATAATAGGTAAACAGTTAAGATTTAATAAATTTAGCAACATTCCAAATAGCATGCAGGTGGAACACGTTCTAAATGTAGGTAATAGTTATTTCTTATGCACGCTCTTATACTTGAATATCTGCAGTAACACTTTAAGCAATTTCCACTTGTAATGTTTTTATTTAGTTTTGTATACATCGACGCCTGAAGAAAGCGAAATATTTGCGTTTAATAGCATGGATAAAGCGATCATAATACCTTGCACTTACGCTCAAGTACTTATTGAAATTTTAAAGTACAAAAGTAATAATTTTGCCTTTAGGAACTGCCAGATATTTTATACGACATTTATTGCTAAAATAATATATTAAAATAGTAGAATTATTGTCAAACAGCACTTTCTTGATTAGGCTATATTAAACCTTTGTTTTAGTTGCTTCATATCGATTACCTATAAGAGTTTTTCAATTTAGATATTAACTAACAAATAGTAGATTTTTCTTAAAATAGGTAATTAAATATGCTTTTATTTAACACTTTGAAGGAAAGTTTAAAACTAATTTCTTTTATTCAAAAATAATTTTTTCAATATAAATATATTTATTTCACATTATCTTCTGTTCATTTAATTCACCTTATTTTTAATCAAATTTCTAGAGGTCTAAGATACTTTAAAATCAACATTTGACACCTACCTAAAATGTATTTTTTTGTTTTCCTTTAAATTGAAACAATATTTTTTAAGAATGATTAAATATGGCAGCCGTAATATAAAATAATGTATATGAAAAGCTTGAGCGAAGAGTGTAAGGGGAATACTCCATTTCTATAATATTTTTCTTTCAACTTTAGGTAACTGCAACTGACGGCGATAAAGACAGACCACAGAATATCGTTTACTTCCTAACGGGACAAGGAATTGACCCTGACAATCCTGCTAACAGCAAATTCGACATCAACAGGACCACAGGAGAAATATTCGTATTAAAGGTAAATTTAAAATACGTTTTTTTCTTTTAAAACATGCAAATTTATGGTTATAATTAAAATGTATGATTTTAAATTAAAGTGTACATTACATTGCGTTTGAAGATCCACAGGTTTGATCTACAATAGCTATTTATGAAACCACTTGCGAAATGCTTTATTTTTTGTAACAAGTAAATATTTGCGGTCTTGCAACATTAATTAGTTACATGAAATAGCATTTTATAACGTATTACATACAATATTTTTCCTAATTTTGACTAAAATTGTGGTTTGGTTAAACACTAATGACTACTCCTAAAAATTACCTAAAAGGCATTTATATATTCCAAAGAGAATATTTTTTGAAAATATTAAATATTTTGGTCAAGTTCAATAATGGTACATTTAAACTACTTCCAAAAACTTGAAAAGCAGTTTAAAAAGATTATACGCACCCATTTTTCAAATAAACTAGTCACAACGAAATAGGTATCACTGAATTAATCATCTAAATCTTTTTAAATGTCCCCCGTATTTTCCATTAAAATTTATACAAATAACAAGCACACCTAAATGCATATTTTCAATACAAAAAACAAATCTTTTTTACGAGGAGGTGACCAAAAAATATATACGCAAAAAATTAAAAGTATCTGATACATTCAGTTTTACTTTGTACACCAATTATGAATAACGATGTTCTTGGAAGGCCTATTGTACAAAGAAGGCATCTAAGTGAAATTGAAGTAGCAAGAGCCGTTACACTATTACAAGAAGGACGTTCGCAGAGATACGTAGCCCGCTTGCTTCAAACAAGTTAACCAACGATTCACCGAATGTGGAATAGATTTCAAGACATAAGTATTATCCGTAGAAGACCATATACACCACGAGAAAGAATAACTACGCCCCAACAAGATCGCCAAATTGTACGATTATCCCTACAAAATAGGACAAGAACAGCTACACAGATAAGAAACTTACATTTTCAGGCCACTGGTAGACGCATATCTCTACAGACTACACGTAACAGACTTCATGAAGCCCAATTACACTCAAGAAGTCAAGCTATTGTTCCTCATTTAACACCAGCTCATCGTAGAGCAAGAAGAAACTTTGCAGCAGAACATGTAAATTGGAATATTCATCAATGGAGCCATGTTCTTTTCACGGATGAATCAAGATTTTGCCTTTACTCCAACGATGAACGTGTGAGAGTCTGTAGACGCCGTGGAGAACGATTTTTGGATTGCAATGTAAGAGAAGTAAGAGCTTTTGGCGGTGGTTCTGTAATGGTTTGGGGAGGTATTCAATTGAACGGGCGTACACGCTTACATGTTTTTGAAAATGGCTCTCTTACAGCTAGACGTTATATCGATGAGATATTAGCACCTATTGTCTTTCAACTGGCTCATCTAGAAGGCCCTTATTTTGTTTTACAACAAGATAATGCAAGGCCTCACACTGCAAGAATTGTTCAAAACTTTATTGAAGAGGAAAATCTTACTGTAATGGAGTGGCCAGCCAACAGCCCTGACTTAAACCCCATTGAACATCTTTGGAGCATCATGGGAAGAAGATTGCGGGATCGAGAACACCCAAATAATCTACAGGTGTTAGCAGTACAACTTCAGGAGGAATGAAACAATATTCCTCAAGGAACGATTCGTCAACTAATAGAATCTATGCCTAGACGTTGTATCGAAGTTTTAAGAGCCAGAGGAGGGCATACACATTATTAGTTTTTGTTTATTTTGAAATTTTTTGATATTAATAAACAAGTGTTGTTATCAATTTGCTTTTTTTAACTTTATTAAATGTACGATAATGTTTAAAAATTAAAACTTGCATACTTTTAAAGACACATACCTAAACTATATGAACACAAAATTTAAGTAACTCCTCTCTTTTTGGAGTTATAACAATTTAAATAAGTGATACCTATTTCGTTGTGACTAGTTTATATAAAATTTTATTAAAAAATGGGTGCGCATAATATTTTTAAACTGCTTTCCAAGTTTTTTAAAGTAGTTCAAATGTACCATTATTGAACTTGACCAAAATACTTAATATTTTCAAAAAATATTCTCATTAGAATCTCTAGATGCCTTTTAGTCAATTTTCAGAAGTAGTTCAAATGTATCCTTTGTAAAATTAAAATATATCAAATTGTATTAAAAAATGCATGCGCATCTTTTTAAACTGCTTTCTAATAAGTTTCTGGAAGTAGTTCAAATGTACCATTAATGAACTTGACCCAAAAACTTAATATTTTCGAAAAATGTTACCTTTGGAATTTCTAAATCCCTATTAGTCAATTTTCAAAAGTAGTTCAAATGTATCATCCTCTGTAAAATTAAAATAAATTTTATTAAAAAGTTTCTGGAAGTAGTTCAAATGTACCATTAACCATTTAAAAAATATTCTCTTTGGAATTTCTAAATGCCTTTAGTCAATTTTTAGAAGTATTTCAAATGTATCATCCTTTGGTAAATTAAAATATATCAATTTTTATCAAAAAATGCGCGGGCTTCTAATACGTTTCTGGAAGTAGTTCAATTGTACCATTAGAGAACTTGGCCAAAAAAACACAAGAAATGCTCTCTTTAGAGCAGCTAAAACTCAGAATGTTCTGCAGTCAGTTCAAACGTGCATTTACTAAAATTCAACAAGTTATATCCACTTTAACAAAATGTGCCTGTTCTGTTTTTTTGAAAATATTAAATGCTTTCTATTAAGTCTTCGGATAGTAGCTCAAATGTATTAAATAAACTGCCTGAAATTTCTTTTGAACCACCCTATAAAAGCAACAATTTTTTTTTTTGTATAATTTAAGTCTTTGTATATAAGTAGCATAATGACTGAAAGTGTGTCATAAAAGACCTAATACATGTTAGTTTTATAATTTTTTAAGACTTGTTTTTTAGGTCATAAGGTTTTGAATCTCTTTAAATTTTGTTGTGATTGATCTGCATTCATAACCTAACAATTTCTATTTTATTAGATTTTAAAATTAGATAGTCCATAACGTTTTTAATCGGATTTTAAAAAAAGTTTAAAAAACCTATGCAAATATTTATTTTCTTTCTTGAACAAATTTTCCTCTGTTGAAAATGAATTATTTTAAAAATTGTTTCTACTTACCTAGTGACTACATTTAGGCAATCAATATTATTTTTTGGATTTTTAGCAAATACATTATTTTATTGATAATTAAAACCACGATTAAAATGTTATTATTATTTTTTCTCAACGACTTGCAGTGTTTATTAAAGTTATTTAGTTTTCAAAAAAGTGGGTTATTTTGCAGTGAATTATGTTTTAATTATTATGTGTCGGTTTGGACTGGAAAATAAGGACCAAAACAAGATTATCACTAGGTTGTAAGTTTAACCAAATTCTATATTTATAAGTGAAGCTACTCCTATGTGATATAAACTTTATATGTCAAAATTAGAAAAAAATATATAAAAATACATTATTTGTAAAACAATAAAGGAAATATGGTGCAGTTGAAGGGAATTAATAAACTATATCGTAAAAAATATCCTGAAACCCGATAATTTTCATTTTCAAATTTTTTTTAAAAACAAGTCAAGCAAGAAACACATTTTCTTTCCAGTGACAGCCTTAATTAAATTTACTTTTGGGTATGTACAGAGATACGAAAATGAATCCTTCAAAAGTTGACTATTGTAATTTTATAAATATTTTTTGACCGTTTACTTAAAATTAATTATATAGTTTGATATACAATTAAGACCTTTTAAAAGTCTATTTATACTACCTTATTATTAGTATTTCCATTTTTATTGTGATTAGGAATTAAGTTGAACCTTAACAATGTAATGGGGATATTTATACTCGATTTATGATTATTATTATTGTTATTATTATTAGCGTTAATACTTATGCTTAATAATTGACAGATTCAACTTTTATGTTAAATCTTCAATTTCTTCTTTTCTATCAAATTAATGACGTATTTGGCCTTTGTTTCTAATAGATAAGGGATAACGACAATTAACAATACACATATGATTGTCAGATGTGTTTATGTTTATTCTCGGAAAAATAAAACGTGTTTATTTATACAAGATTTATACCAGACAATTTATACTACGGGTAATATAAGCAGTGTTTACCGAGTATAAAGTTGACAGAATGACAGATGACATGTCACCAAGTAGAAGAAAAGGCCTCTTTTTTATCTAGTTTGTCTCCATTTTCTTGTTTTTCTTTTTATCTAATAAAAATTTGAGACATAAATCCTTTAAAATTTCCATAATTAAACATATTTTTGAGTAATAATATTTTTAAATAAAATAAGCTAGTAAAAATATTAATAAAAACCCGTTTAAAACTCAAATATCTTAAAAAATATTCCAAAAACACAACTGGCCTCTTACACATTTCTTCAGTAACCATGCACTTTGTTGACTGTAGAATTATATCTTATTACTATTAAAAAAAGCACTACACTAATTATACTAATAATAAAACGAGTATAAATACCCTTTTAAATTATTTTGTCCAGTTTAATGCTTAATCATAAGGCTAATACAAATACTAATAATACTACGTTCTATATAAAAAATCATCGATGACGTCATGACACTCACTCAGGTGACGTCACGATTAAAAGGGATATCTAACAGAACACATTTGAAAATCAAAAAACCGATACGTCTCTGAATTTTTATGAAATAATGAGAATTTATTTCTATTATTTACACTATTTTAAATTTTAAAATAATAAAATCTTAATAATACTTTATACATAACCGCATAACTATAATATGAAAGCTATTAATATATGCAAACTGGCTCCATTAAAATTAGAGTGATATAAAAGCATAAAATTCATATTTTAAAATGTAGGTTAGCCGTTATTCATTTAATTTAAATAAATAATTATGTGCCTGTAGAAATTGATAATTTAAATAAATATTCAATTTAAATTAGTTTTGTAAAAATTTATTAAGAATAAAATGATAAAAATATTTGGAAATTATATAGTACAACCAAAAATAATTTACCTTCATTTCTATAAATCGGATGGAAAAACGCATTTCTTGTTAAAATCATAGAAACATTTTTATTAATCAAATTTCCAAAGTAATGTTTGGATTATTTTGCTCTTTTTTCTCTGTTTAGCCATTTTTACATTTCTAAGCGAGGTACCACCTTCTTAATGAAGGGTGCCTAGTAAATATAACGTAACTGTACCACCCCTAAAAGTTTGTCGCTTGTACATAAGCTCTTAACTCTGTTTTAACAAATGAGATATGAGAAAATTTTATTTTAATAGTTCTTAAATACTGTAGCCGAAGCCAAAATTTAAATAAAATCGATCAACCAAAATTTCAGCGCGAATTAGACATTCCAAACAAAATGGTTACTAAAGAGCATGATGGATTTGACAGGATCAATGATATTATATGTACATAGTTATATACATTAATCATCCATATTATATTTTTCAAAATAAGCCCTTGAAGTAAAAATGAAGGTAAATATTTTTTCCTTTATTCAAAAGCTGATATTTGGTTTTAAAATACATTTTTGTTAAACCGATTCTGATTGATGAGCACTTGCGAGGCAATATGGCCGCTCGTAAAACGACCCGCTCTGAGCATATACAGGGTGTATCAAAATGATTGGTCATAAATTATACCACATATTTTTTGGTTAAAAATAGGTCGATTGAACACTACTTCCGATTTTTTATACCGGGTGTTCATTTCAAAACTGGATAGTCCACAATAGAAAATATTATCAAAAATAAAACCAGTCACTTTAACCAAAACACAGAAACAAGAAACAAACAATGATCTAGTCGTTACGCTACTGACCGTAAGCAAGGACAAGGTTCAAATTGTGAATGGGCGTGGCGATTTTTAAGTAAACGACGCATTTGCGCTGGTTCTTTAGATTTGGAGTTTACTGTACCTATGTACAAAATTGCACACACAAAAAGTTAGAGGGTGTTCAAGTTAAAAATTAAAATGAATTTTTTTAACGTTGCTCTTAAGTTTAACATTTTTTCATGAAATTTTATGTGGCATGTTAGAATACAATGAATAATAAAACCGAGGCAGAGGGAATATTTTTTTCTCGATTTTTGTAGGTTTTTCTATGGGACCCTTTTGACTAGACAACTTTTTCTTAATTGATGTTCACTAGTTATTTGTACAGAATAAACATAGTCTCATAATTTCCCAAAACAAAAATCCAGTGGATTAAGATCAGGATCGCGAGCTGATCATTCAGTTGGTGCATTGGGTGCCCTTCCTATCCAATGTGCTGGATATTGCCGAAATAGAAACGCTGTATCGTTACTAAAATGTGGTGGAGCGCCATCTCGCATAAACCACATATTTTATATCTTTTAAGTAGATTGGCAAATCGGTTTGTAAACTAATAAATAATTTTCTCCGTTTAGATTATTGTGAAGAAATACTGACCCTACTAAATAATTCCAGCTTAAACGTTTACTTTAAAATTAATTTAATGGTGACGCACTGTTTTAGCATTAGTGTTTACGTCGGCCCAGTTATGTGCATTGTGGTGATTAGTAACTCCATTCCTTCTAAATGTAGCTTCATCTATGAATAACATATTTTTAATTATCCCATCCGTTTGGGAATGTCTTGAACAGGTATTACATGGAAGGGGGAAGTAGCTGTTCCTTAACTGTTCTACACACTTTCATATGATATACTCCTATTTGAACACCTAATACTCTTGTGCTTGTTTCCGGGTGCTCATCAATTCTGTTTAGGATAATCTCATCATTAGCATGGTTTTTTGGACGACCACGATCAATTTCCATGAATGTGCTCCTATTAGGTACATTCCTATATGGGTTTTTTTTCTGAATAAAGCCTTGCAGCTGCCGCACCATTACCTTGACATTCGCCTAATTGCCAAATGAAAAAAAAAATAGATTCTTACAATCGTTATCTCCATAATGTTATTTTTACCTAAGACTAAATGCATATCTGCCTGTTAACTTGCCTTTTGTTGCAAATATGCTTGATGTAGTATATGGGTGGTTAAAAAGTGGGTAACATCCTAAAAAGACTTTATTAACTCAATCTAAGTTCACATAATGAATAGTAAAAAAGTTTGTGGCGATATGCACCACCGCAAGATACAAGTGATTAATTGCGAATGCAAGCAGGGTTGTTACGGACTTATTTTTCAGAGTGTAGCAATCTGTAAAAAAATTGTACAGCATTGTCATTGCATTGTGCACCTGCGAGTGACAGATGTTAAAAGTAACAGTTGACAGCAGTCATTTAAAAGATCGTTGACGCATGCGACACCTTTTGTCTAATTCGCGATTTATTTCTTGGGACGTATTTCGTTTCATTGATTTAAATTGACTATTGTTATTAGTAGCAGCTAGATGGCACATGCAACTAGACTGTTTTTGAGTTATTTTATTCAATTAAAGAGAAGAAAAAATGGATATGATTGGTATTTTTGGTTTATAGTGTACTTTTTTGTGCAGTTTTTTGAAAATGTGTAGCAAAACAATGAAATTGGCGATTGGGGTGCACCTGCGCAGTTTTTCGATAAAATGTCTAGCATTATTCATAATTGTGTGGCCTGTAACAACTCTGAATGCAAGTTTGTTATGAATGTCTTTGTCTCACCGGAACGACGCTGGTTCCAAGTAGACGTGGAAGTCTATTTTTTCTACTAGAGGTAGCCATAAATGTTTTAGAGCGCTAGGATGGAACTGCCATTTCAGAAAAACTCTTAATTATTCATTTTTATTCAAATGGAAAAAAGCAAAACTTTGGTCAACGATAACTTCATGTCAAGACTGACAATAATAACAAACAATTAGGTCGGGAATAAGTAACCAACTCGTTTTTACAAAGTGAAAATATGTATTTTCACTTTGACAAAAATTTACTTAAAACAGAGTACATAAAAGATTAGATCTGATCAAATTGTAACCGTAGTAGTTTCTAATTTATGATACAAATTTTAATGGAAAATACTTGCGAACCTTCACTTTTTGCAAAAGAACATTGTATTGCCGTATAGCGTCATGTTTATAATTAAATTTTTTTAAAGGTTTTTGTTATGATTTGTAGTTAATTATATTTGTAATTTAATAATAAATGAAAGAGAATTGTAATATTCAAGTTCATTACATAACCAAGACTGAGGCTTGGACAGTATTGACAATTGAAAGCCTGCTGACACTTGACGTGACAGGGTGAGACCCGTTATTACTACTTAACTAATATGACAGTTTTTACAAAACAATGTAGAATATGTATTATTGGAAGGAGGAGATTATTTTGAACACTTATTTAATTCAGTTATTGTATTTTGCCTTTAATAGTTTTAATTTAATAATAAACCTGATTTTGATATTTTTGTAAGTAGCTGTACCGTTTTAACTAAACATTTTACAAATACTAAGAGACAAAATAGTTTGAAAATTCCAGTGGCGTCCCATTTTTGACTAAATTTAATACCACAAAAAGTTGGGTAGTTAAAAGGGCGATGATCCCCTCCAAAAAAAAATATTGCTTTAACATCGGCTTTATTAGTCATTGTATTCTAACACGCCATTTAAAATTTAATGAAAAAAATCTTAAATGGTTTAAGAGCAACGTTAAAAACATTCATTTAAATTTTTAATTTTTTTGTGTGTGCAATTTTGTACATAGGTAAGTAAGGTTTGACCCAAGAAAGTATAATTTATAACCTAGCTTATTGATGCACCTTGTATATCATTGACCCTGTTAAAGCCCTCCGGCCTAATGCCTAATAGAAATAGCACTTTTAGTTTCATTTTTGGTTGTATACTAAACGCTACAGAAGTATTTTCATTTTTCGATGGTTTTCTACTTACACATTGCTGTTTTAAAATTAAACACCCTTTATGATTAGTTTTTGTCATAAATCATAAAGTTTAACTTTAGATCTAGCCTGTGGGCATAATTTAAATTTATGGTCGTAATTATAAAAGTTCCATCTATAAAAAAGTTTTTAACTTTTAAATAGTTTCTCGCAAGTTTTAATATGTTTTGAATTTCTTACACACTTTATTCGTTTACTAAATCTTATTTATATCGTTATAGAAAGTTTCAAAAGTTCTTTTTATAAGAAATTAATTAATTTCGAATATTATTTGTCAATCATCAATGAATAATCCAAAAATTTATATTTTTAGCCCTTAGATCGTGATCAACCAAACGGCAGACCACAATGGCGGTTTACAGTGTTTGCTCAGGACGAAGGAGGTGAAGGTCTCGTCGGTTACGCAGATGTACAAGTAAATCTCAAAGATATTAATGACAACGCTCCCATCTTCCCCCAGGGAGTTTACTTCGGTAATGTTACCGAAAACGGTACAGCTGGAATGGTCGTTATGACAATGACAGCGGTCGACTACGACGACCCCTCTGAAGGCACGAATGCTAAGTAAGTGACAACCAAGAATAATATACCTACCGACTGGAATTAAACAAATTTGTTGTTTGTACCTTCTTTGAATTCAGTTTATAGTTAAAGGTGGCGTCTGGATATATCTCGAGAATCGTTTATTTGGAGAATTTTGATGTAATATTTTTGCGGAACTAAAATTATAAATTGGTATATATAAAAAGAAAATGTTTAAATATCAATTAATTTTCTTTTAAGGCGAACTCCTTTTTCCATCTTCTAAGCCATTTAAACAATACTCATTCCTTTTTCTGTCATTTCACATTTTAATTAATAGTCTAAGAGCCAGTGGACGGCTACCTGTACCATACCTGAGATGGGGAGACACTAAGCCCAAAGTGGTGGACGCGGCGGGCGCTCAGGTAAGACAGGTATCGATTTTATCAGAAAACAATAATGGCAGCTCATTATCGCGTGTTTAACATTGTGGCAGACAGTTAGGGTCTTAAAAACTTATATTCATCACGGCAGACGTCTTCATTGAGTACACACATCAGCAGACAACAAAATCTTAGCTTCCATCCGGTCAGATGTATGTGTATTACGTTCCTTGTTTCACATCAATATTATTTACGTTATTACTTTATTTATAGGAATTAATATTTAATTTAAAATTTATAAGTTTGATGATAAAAAAGTAAATATATTTCGAAAGGATCTCAAATATTAGGGTATATTGAGATAACAATAACTAATAACAACTTATTTTTGTTCGATATCAAAATTTGAATTTTTTCATTAAATTTCTTGTGAATCTTTTCTTCTAAAGAGTGTGTGGTAAATATTTGATGTTGCGTCAGAGCCTTTATTTCATTCTTTAAACATTTCGAGATATTCTTTATGTAAATAACTCAGAAAATAACAACGTCCTCGATTTATGACATTCTCTTCAATTAAACAACATATTTCTTTATAAACAGTTTTATGTACTTCTCGGGAGATATGCCATGAAGTACAGACAGGACTTTTCACTAGTGATCTTTTCTGATTCCTAAAATTTTGCCGGCAAATATCATGATAATAGACTTCACAAGAGAGAACTGTGACAGGCTTCTGGTTCAGCTACAGTAAATCAGCGAGTCTGTGTGGCGCTATGAAGGTGATTCCCGAATAGGGGTTGCTCAGGCGCCAGTTTTAGTATCGCAGTTTGCTCTGCGACCCTGTAGTGCACCAGAGTGTACTCAAGGTAAACTCAGTGGAGGTAAAAATAATTCCAGGGGGTCACTGCTAGGTAGCCACTATACTAGAATAAATAAAAATAAAACACTTATCTCCTTTACACCTAGTACCCTACGGTACCCTGAAAGAGAACGGTTAAGAACCAGCAATAAAAGAAACACAGGAATAGGTAATAAAATATATTTTTACAAAAAAATACAGCGGTGAAAATGCACGGTTCTGGCACGGCGGTAAACGGAGAATTAAGTAAAATGAATAATTACAATTAAACGAGGTTACAAGAAAGTAATTACGGACTTCTATATACAAAAAAAATAATTAAAAGTAAATTATTACAATTGAAGCTAGTTAAATAATAATGGCTCCCGGTATTCGGAAGATTTACTAAAAATAAATTATTACACTTGAAAACTAATTAAATATTAACGGCTCCCTATATTCGGAAAATTTATTAAAAATAAATTATTATACTTGAAAACTAATTAAATATCGGTTTAAAGTCTCTCCCATGTAGACATCTAGTAGTCCATAGCTTCTACAAGAGAGAAACCCTTTCCACGAGCTGTTATAAAGACTAGGGTCTGAAACAGCTCTGATTATCGACGGGGGAAGCAAGCGAATACCGCTATCATCCCTTGGTTAACGCGAAAATGGATGAAGGGTGCGAGTGCCCCCGGATTTAAATCCAATTTACTATATTACCCTAATAGGTACTAAGGAAATTAAAAGTTCGTATTACCTTTTACTAGTACGGGAAAATATTTAAATCGGAAATTATGTACTACCCTGTATATGGAAGGTATGTTTTCCCAAATATACGAAATTAAATTAAATTAAATGTTCTGGTCAAAATAATAAAACGAAAAAAACCGGTAATTAATTAAAACGGAGTAATTAATTTTTAATCAAACGGTTGACCAACTGAGAAGTTCATAAAAATAAAATAAAACGGGTAGTTACGACACTCCCTGTATACGGAAAATGAAGTTTACTATTACCACAATTAACCGCCTACAATGTTAGTTCAGAAAGGGAAAACTTACTATAAAATGGATCAAAGTTTTCGGAACCCCCTTGTATCTTGGTCTCGAGCGATCGGCAGTGGGAATTTTCGTCGCGTGAGAATGATATGAATTTACGCGGTGTTTGGACAGTGATAGAAAAGATTATTTTGAGATTTGCCCAAAATCGATCAAAACGGTGTGTGAATTAATTTTATAGAAAACGTCAGGCTTCGTTCAATAATTAATTGTTGACGGGAAACGGAATGATTCAAATATAATTGAATGAATAAATAAAAGAAAAGAGAAACTTACATGAAAAATACTGGGCGCTTCATATAAAAAATTGCCAACGGTTTCCCACTAAGAAATGAAATGAAAAATGCTGGGCATGAATCAAAATTCTTTCACTTGTCGGACGGGTGTCCCAAACTAATTGTAAATAAAAAAAAATAATATGCGGTTTCCTAACTTAGAAAAATTAACGGGGTTGTTCAGCAGTCTAACAATATCACGGTCACTCACTAGTCGGTGGAGAAGAGAGAAGAGCTTACGGTTGCCAGAAATCAAGAGAGCATAATTCCCAGATGTGATCGAATGTATGCTTTTTCGCTGTGCAAGATGGAAGACCGGTAAGCCCGAGTGGGGGATACGACCACTACAGCCGACTGTTTACAATTTAAAAATAAAAAAAATGTCCTTCTAGTACCTTGACAAATAAAAGTAGATAATTGGTACGAAATCGACCCTACAAAATGCCCATTTGGATTTCGGCAAATATAGGAATATTTTAACCTACGAGGGTACTCGCAATTGTTGAAAAACGGTAATTGCTGGGAAACAGAAATACGGGGGATCTTCTACATGTCCTCAGGCGGGAATTAATTGAAATATACTTTTTTTAAATTAATTAAAAATAAAATTTAGTGACTTCGTCACATAACACTTTGTATTAAAGTTTAATAAAATACTCTTTTCAAATTGATCCTTCCCTTGAAGTGCGTAATGGCTGATTCTTAGAGCGATATTGTTTCTTTTTTTTTTGTTGCAAAAAACACATTTAAATTTGATAAAACTGCATTATCAGAAGTATGAACAGTCGATGATTCTGCTAAATCTTTAGAAGGTCCTGCCTCCAACGTCTGTTCAGCTTCAGCATCAATTTATTCTCAGGAAGATTCATATCTTTTACAAGGGAATTATGTACAATTGTATCATCAATTATTGAGCTATCAGCTGATGTAGATGATTGTTCAATTACAGACGAAGACGTACTGGGCTGTGATGGAACTGTCGACATAAAATGTCTTTTCAATGCTATAAATGTTTTGTAATAACTACTATGATATACAAAATCATAAATTTCGTCCGGTAAAATGATATCTTTATATTTCAATTTATGAAATTTTCTTTTGACATTTTGACATAGTCTCTTCTGAAAATATCAATAATTTATCAGTTTTTACTGTGTCACAAAAAAACACACTTCAGTTCTTTTTTTCACTCGATTTAATGTCATATATATTAAATAAATAATAGACTAATCAACAAAATAAAAGACAGCAACAGTATGTATTTTATTAATTTCACAAAACACGAAGTATCTGTATGATGGCACTAACCGTTATGATGGAGATATCTGAACCCTCTCAGATAAAAAATCTGAATTATTTGAATACTAGTAACAATAAAAGAAAACGCTATAGTCTAGAATGAGTACAATAGTAATCCATAGGGGAAAAAAGAAAGATAGCTATAGATAGTCTATGCATACACCTGGCCGGATAGTAGTTTTTAAGATCCTAATAAATAAAATATATCAATGGCAGATCTGGGGCCTATTTCATAAAACTACTTTGCAACTTTTCACTTTTCACTCTGCAAATTTACGAGTGCAAAATACTTGTGTTTCATACAATTATAACGTTATCGATGCAGAATATTAATTTTTCATTTTTACTTTTCAAATTTTACTTTTTAACTTGTCAAATGTCTCTTTTATTAAACATAAATTTACTAAAATATACAAAGTGCAAAGTGAAAAGTTGCAAAGTAGTTTTATGAAATATGCCCCTGGTCAATTACTTTCAAAATTGTATTATTTTCAGCACTTTCAAAACTGTCTGCCACAATGTTAAACAAGCGATTATGGTCTGTCATTGTTGTTTTCTGATAATAATAATAATATATTTTCAAATTTCAAAACGGCAGACGTGGTCAAATGCATTTAAAATTTGTCAAAAATCGATACTTGTCTTACCTGAGCGCCCGCCGCGTTCACCATTTTGGACTTAGTTACTCCCTATTTCAGATATGGTAGGTATAAAGGCCTTAGTGCACAAAAATTCAGGTCTGGTCAAATACATACAGGTAGCCGTCCACTGGCTCTTAGACTATAAATGGATTAACCAAAATTAATATTACACTGTCAAGTTCCTCCAAAATTGAACCAGAATTTCATATCAACATGTTAAATATTTAAATCTTTAAATTCAATTTTCATCGCTGTAACTTTGATGAAACAAAACTACCGATAGAGTTTACCGTTTGCAATTTCATTTACTATATTCTGTTTTCTAGGTTGGTATATTCAATCGAGAAAAACGTTATCGAAGAAGAAACCGGCTCGCCGATATTTGAAATTGAATCAGAAACGGGAGTGATAAAAACCGCGGTGTGTTGCTTGGATAGAGAAAGGACTCCGGATTATTCGATACAAGTGGTAGCGATGGACGGAGGCGGGTTAAAGGGAACGGGAACGGCCTCGATACGCGTCAAGGATATCAACGACATGCCGCCGCAATTTACAAAGGACGAGTGGTTTACGGAAGTGGATGAAACAGACGGCGCAACACTTCCAGAAATGCCTATACTTACGGTCACCGTTCACGACGAAGACGAAACCAACAAATTCCAATATAAAGTAATAGAAAACAGCGGATACGGTGCGGATAAATTCACTATGGTTCGCAATAACGATGGCACTGGCTCTCTTAAAATCGTACAGCCTCTCGACTACGAAGATCTACTTCAAAGTAACGGTTTCAGATTTAGAATTCAAGTTAATGATAAGGGCGAAGACAACGACAACGATAAATATCACGTAGCCTACTCTTGGGTGGTGGTCCGACTAAGAGATATTAACGACAATAAACCACAATTCGAACGACCCAATATCGAAGTATCGGTATTTGAAAATGCGGAAGTCGGCAAAAGTTTAGAGACCTTTAAAGCCACAGATCCCGATCAGGGCGGCAAAAGTAAAGTTTCTTACGCTATTGACAGATCGTCGGATAGAAAGCGACAATTTTCGATTAACCAAGAAGGCACTGTGAGCATACAACGATCTCTAGATAGAGAAGATACTCCAAGGCATCAAGTTAAAATTCTTGCGATCGATGACGGAATTCCACCCAAAACCGCTACAGCTACTCTGACTGTCATTGTTCAAGATATCAACGATAACGCACCTACGTTCCTGAAGGACTACAGACCCGTAGTACCGGAACACGTACCCCCTAGGAAGGTTGTTGAATTATTGGCAACTGACGACGATGACAGATCCAAAAGCAATGGTCCCCCATTCCAATTCAGACTGGATCCCAGTGCAAGTGATATTGTCCGAGCTTCCTTTAAGGTGGAACAAGATCAAAGTAAGTTAAATTTATGACAAACATTTTACTGCTTAGGCACAGTTGTACAACTTTCAGCGAAAGTTAAACATATCCTGAACTTGTGTTATATAGCCGTACTTTTTATGTATATTATTAAATCATTTATTTAATCAATATAACTAATTTACATGGCAATTTACAAGGCAATACACACTTTACGCATTTAAAACAAAAAAAAAATATTGTAGTATGAAATTACTAGTATTATAACAGTTTTACAATGATTCAAATTCTGTGGTAAAAACAGTGTAGCAAAAGTGATCAATAAAAGAATATTTTTTAACATTTTAATAAATCAAATTTGACTACAAATTATTGAATAATGAGGAAAATTAATCATTAGGATTTGTTTAAAATTGCTGAAATTTTATATAAAAATAGTCATTTAAGAAAAGTCAAATTAAATAAAACGAGAAATACTCTGTACAGTTTAACAGACCCCATTAACCTTCACATTCAATCAGATTTTTTGCAGAATCAATAGACTTATAATAAAGCTTGATTTTTCCAGAAGATTTCAATTTGATATCGTTTTTTGTTAGAATTCTTTTCAATATTTCATCCTCCCTTATCTCTCAATTTTTATTTATTTATACATTTTCTTATAGAGCTTGATTTTTACTAAACATGTCATGTTGATTTCGCTTCTGGTTTTTGATTTTTTTTTTATTTTATTCCCCCTTGACACCCATTTTAGTCAGATTTATTAAAATCAAATAAAGCATAAAATTTATTTCAAAATCAATAGACTCATAGAGTTTAATTTTTATTAAAAATCTCAAATTGATATCGCTTTTCGTTTTTGATTAAGGATTTTTTTTTTAATTCAACTCCACTTAAGCCCCCAATTCATCTGTTTTATAATGATTTTCTATTCATTTAAACATATTTAGCGTTATTACTTAAAACTTGAAATTCCAAACGATTGTTTTCCGTAATTTAACCGGTTTTTGAGGTTCTTCGAGATAGAAAAGATATTTTGATCTTTCTTTTTCATCTATTTTATGATGAATTTCTCCTATTTTATACCTATCAAGCGTTTTACTTAAAATTTCAAATTTAAAGGTTCGTTTTCCATCATTTAACCAGTTTTTGAGATTTTTCGAAATAGACCTACCTACCTTAACCCCCTTGACCTACCTTAACCCCCTTGACCTACCTTAACCCCCTTGACACCTCTTGGTTCCCCCTTGACCTCCCTGACTACCCACCTTATCTTCCTTGACCCCTTGGCCCCGTGTTCTCCTTGAGCCCCTTTGAGCCTCCTATATCCCCTTGAGCCTACTTGACCCCCCTCCCCTAAATTTTGTTGTGTTAAATATAAATAGCAGAGAATAAAACATATTTTTTTAACAAGCTGCCACATCCACATAACATCAATGTTCTATGAATATTCTAAGAACTTTCTATTTATATTCTTTTGGGAATGTTCTTAGAACTTAGCTAGAATATACTTGAAAGTATTTTCTAGAAAGTATATACTTCCGATAATGTGGAAAGCTAAAATTAATACTTGGCACCCTAGAATCAAATTATTTGAGTCATTTGCCCTTAGTGTTATGTATAATTGTATTTTCTGTTTGGGGCCTAAGATACTTAGATGTATTGGAAAGAGTCTAGTTATATTTCCTTAAAAGAGTTCTTTTAGTTCCCACCACTACTCCTGATGCTATAATCCGTTTAGAGACTGGAAGAGTAAAGTTTACATTTAATATTTTTAAAATGTCCCTTAATTGGATACAAAAAATAATGACAATGGATAATCATCGATATCCAAAGCTTTGTTTTAAATAACAATTGCGTTTGATCAACTCTACAGATATAAAGTATAACTGGATAGTACAATTGAAAAAGTTCTTTGTTGATATTGATTGTGTTCATATATGGAACAATTTAATCCATCCTTCTTTTAGTTCATATAGAAAAGAATTGTTTTTCAAATATTTTACACATTTACATGATTCAGATGTTAGTATAGCGTCTCGCTATCCTTTTATATATTTATATATTTATGTTCCTACCTCTTGTGAACCAAGTACATACTTACTCTTTAAATTACCAATCCAGGTATGTCCAACCATTTTAGGATTAAATTTACATTAAATGGTATTAGTTATGTTATTGGTCCCGAACTAGATTGTACTGTGTGTCATACACATGAAAAAGAAACTATTTTACACATACTTTTTGATTGCCCTATTTACTCAACTATGAAGCAAAATATCGCTTGCCTTGAAAATGTAAACTCATTGCTGCATACTTTACAAAATATAACAATTTTTGAAGCTAGGAAAATTTCTGAATATATTTGGAATATATTAAAATTGCGCTCTTTTGTACTGAATGAATAATGTTGTTTTTATGATTTAAGATCTAATTTTTTATATCTGTACTCATTGCTGTAACTCGGGTTTAGAAGCAATAAATATTATTATTATTATTATTATATTCTTTTGGGAATGTTCTTAGAACTTAGATATAATATACTTGAAAGTATTTTCTAGAAAGTATATACTGAATATGTATTTAACAGTATATTCTAAATATTATATACTGAGTTCGTGCCTTAAAAGTATATTCCAATAAGTATATTCCAAGCACCTGCTTTAACAGAACATGCCTAGATGCTAAAAGTTAGATACCCAGCATGTACCTCATATTCTAAAAACGTTCTAAATGCTTACAGATAAAAATTAACATCAATTTTATCTTTTCGTTATAACAATAATTTATTTTACTTATATAACTGTTAGTTTCTTTAAAACAAGTTTCAGTATTTTTATGGGTAAAATAGATTAGGATATCATTCGCAATAAATAAGTGTTTTGAGCATCTTTTGAATACATTAGCAATGTCATAAATATAAATTAAAAACAGTAACGGGCCCAGAACACTACCATGTAGCATCCACATATTATTCTATATAGTATTGGAAAACATTTACTTATTTATACTGTTTCTTGTTTTCCAAATAACGTCCCAGTTCAGTTCACAACCTCCAAACCAATAGCTCTTAATTTCATTAATAATCTATCTCTATTAATGCCCTCTGCTTACAGGTATGTAACAACAATTGTATTTACTATCGCATCCTGAATGCGCGTTACTGATCGTGCTGTCTCCTTCTAACTATAATTTAATGATAAATTATTACTTTTTATATTAGTTTTCCAATAGTTAATCAAATTTATCGGTCTTATCTTTAGTTTTACTGTGATTTTAAATTTTAAATATTCAACGTCAGAAATAGTGGTTGGGATAATTTTGTATAAATACAAAACACCAAATGCTAGTGGGTTTTCATTTTTAAATTTTATTATTTATTATATTCGTTACTTTTCAGAGGGGGCAAACGGAGATGGAATGGCTATTATCACGTCTCTTCGATCATTTGACAGGGAGCAACAAAAGGAATACTACATTCCAATAGTAATAAAAGATCACGGAAATCCTGCAATGACCGGCACAAGTACTCTAACTGTAGTTATCGGAGATGTTAACGATAACAAGATGCAACCTGGTTCAAAAGAAATATTCGTTTATAACTACCAAGGTCAAGCGCCTGAAACCGAAATTGGTAGAGTGTACGTTTACGATTTGGACGATTGGGATCTTCCGGACAAGAAGTTCTATTGGGAAGGACCGGATCATCCGAGATTTAAACTAAATGAAGACACCGGTATGATTTCTATGAAAACCGGCACTCGAGATGGAATATACCACTTACGGTTTAAAGTCTACGACCGTAAGCATACACAGACTGATGTTGCTGCTAACGTAACCGTCACAGTAAAAGAAATACCACATGAAGCAGTTGTCAACTCCGGTTCTGTCAGAATAGCTGACATTACAGACGAAGAGTTTATTAGAATATGGGACTACCATTCCCAAAGTTTATCGAAAAGCATGTCTGAAAAATTCAGAGATAAAATAGCAGATCTATTAAACATCAACCGAGAAAACGTAGACGTGTTCAGCGTGCAGTTACGAAGAAAACATCCTCCTGTCACTGACGTAAGGTTCTCGGCACACGGCTCACCATACTACAAACCAGTCCGTTTAAATGGAATAGTTCTAATGCATCGGGAGGAAATAGAAAGAGCTGTTGGTATTAACATTACCATGGTAGGAATTGATGAGTGTCTGTATGAAAACCAAATGTGCGAGGGTTCTTGTACCAATACTTTAGATATAAGTGCCTTACCTTACATGGTCAATGCGAATAAAACTGCACTGGTAGGCGTCCGAGTTGATGTTCTAGCTGAATGTACCTGCGGAGCTAGAAACTTTAGCAAAGAAGAAAATTGTCGTAACACTCCATGTTACAATGGCGGAAGATGCATAGAAAGCAGATATTCGCTGTCTTGTTCCTGTCCCGCAGGTTATAATGGACCCAGATGCCAACAAACATCTCGCAGCTTCAGAGGAAATGGATGGGCTTGGTATCCAGCTCTTGAAATGTGTGATACATCACATTTACACTTTGAATTTATAACTCGAAAACCCGATGGACTACTGTTGTATAATGGGCCAATTGTACCACCTGAAAAAG